CCCCTCCTTCGCCCCGCCCCTCCTCACCATAGCTCCATTGCTCCGCGGCCTCTCTCTCGTAACTCCTGCTGACTACAGCTTTGTTCCTCCTTCCTCTGCTCCCTTCTGGTCAGGTACAGGTATCTGCCTCTGCTCTGCTGCAGGCCGCCGCTCCCCTCACATCATAGCATGAATCTCAGCTCGCACATGTGCGAGCTGAGATTCATGCTATGATGTGAGGGGAGCGGCGCACCCTGTGTGCGCACACAGAAATGTGCAGTTCATTTCATCGTTGCATGCTCTTTGTGTGTCCTCGTTTTGTGTGTGTGTGTGGTTTTTTTTTTGCACGCGAATGCCACAAACCGTGATGTGAGGTGCTTTTTAAAAAAAATTTTCTGGTTGCTCGTGGGTCTGTCAGTCAAAGGAAAGGTGAAGTGTCCAAACACACAGAGCTCCTCCATATTAGATATTCAGTCCCCACAGCCGGGTTGTAGAGGTCTGACGTTCCATTTCCACCTGTCAGCTCAGCCCAGACCGACCCGGCAGTCGGTGTCTGGAAGCAGAGGAGCCGTCAGGGCGGGACAGAGCTCACCTGCTCCACACCTGCCTGTCCTCGGACCGAGACGTCTGATCTCACCGGTGTCCAAACTTTTAACYCAAACTCCTGAAGTAAAGACATAAAACATGTTTCTGTTTCCTGTCAGAGGGAAGAGTGAATCCTCCGCTGGTRAGAGTGAATTCATTTGGATGCTTTGACTCAAAAATGATCAAAAATATCTTACCTGCTGCAGATTGTTCACACGGCAAGATTTTTAAACGGTCTGTTGATTTTCAAAACCTGAGAGGATAAAAATCATTACTGTAACAGGTTTGGTGTTACAGTGTGTGGTGTACAACCACACAGATTTCACTCACAAACATTCAAATGTCAGATGGGAAATCTCACAAGATTAAACGTAATCAGAGAAAACAAACATGGCCGACGAGGACAAAGCAGTGGCGACTGTTTACGGAGGAGAAGAAACAAAACAAAARCAGGACTGTCTGGTTTTCCATGGCTGTTTTTTTTTGGTTTATGTCACCTGTTTCTGATTGTTATATCGTAGAGTTAGCATATAGTATAACAGTGGAAGCTAACGCTAACCGCTAACTACTACGTCCGACTGTCACTTAACTTCCTACTTGAAGTTTTCCATTACTTAATTTAAAAGTGGGTGGGATCATCTGTGGCAAATCAGCCAATCCAAACCAGAGTTATACCTTTGAACTTGTCATACTTCCAGTTTAACCCTTTCAGATTAAAAGCATTTATTTGAGTTTGTATTTTTATACATACCATTTGAAGTTAAACAACAAATACTTTCTCTACCATATTTTATACATATTCAATTAATGTATTCATTATGAAAATACTGTTAAATGTGTTTTCTTTGTGATGCTCTTAGTTTGAAGTTTAGCTGCTAAAGATGCTACATGCTACACATGGTGCCTGACACGCCCAGCATTGCTTAAAGAGGAGATACTTTTTATTTGCTCTAGGTAAATGGCATAAAATAGAAGTTTTACACATTTTAGTGGACTTTTAATTAGCAGAACCTAATTTAGTGGAAGCTAATTGGCGCGCTGTTTCCAAAGTTAGTAAAAATGCTAATCCGCTAAATGAGAAGCTAGTTCCGCCGTTAGCAGCTTAGCAGAATGGTGCCCGCCACTGCTGATTTGAGATTGAAGCAGTCCTGACGTCCCTCTGAGCCGACTAGATGGGTCTGAACCCACCACACATGGCAGGAAGTTCTCCTCAGATTATCTTGAGAGCCATCAGGATTATCGGGATTATCAGGACGTCCTTAAGATGATCAGAAATTGGGTCAAACATTGGTAGAACCTTGCCGTATGAACCTGGAATAACTCTGAATGACTGTTTTGAAAGATTAAAGTTTAATTCTGACCAGACCTGTAAACCTTTACACACCTAAAAGCTCTTTTACCTCTGAGCTGTAGCACTTCCTGTCCAGCCTGGGGCACTTCCTGCAGGAAAATCATAATATTTATTCAAGCAGATGTTTTGAAGAACTAAATCAAAGCTGCGTCTCTTTACTTCCTGTCTCCTCAGTGTTCGTCCCCAAAGTGATCGGCGTGGCGGTGGCGCGCTACGACTTCGTGCCCCGGGACACGCGGGAGCTGCCGCTGCAGGACGGCGACGTGGTGAAGATCCTGAACAAGACCGGGGGCAACGGCTGGTGGCGGGGCGAGGTCAACGGCAGGGTGAGTGAGGGGAAACCGGGCCTCACGGTTACTTCCTGATGAGGTCCAAACGTCTGGTTCAAAACAAACTAAACATTTTAGCCACGGCAGCCATCTTGAACTGGAGAGACCCCAGCTGAGGGTTTGTTTAAACAATCCATACAGTCTTTTATCAGATATTTTACTAACAGAGAGGCAAATAAATGATCCCTGCCTTTCAATAAACTCATACAAATGGTTTTCTGAAGTGCTGTTGTCTGTTTAAAGACTTTTTATAACGTTGTTTCTGACTTTTTTTGATTTTTTTTGTGTTTTTCCCACAGTTTTAAATAATTTTCAGGTTTTAATAAAGAAAAATAAACTTTTTGAATAAATCTATAAACATACCTGCAGGGTTCCTGCAGATCCTTAAAAAGCCTTAAAAGTCATTGAATTCATCAATCCAAAAATAAGGCCTTAATTAGCCTTAAAATGTCTTAAATCAATCCTTCAGAGGTCTTAAAAATATTAACACTTTGTACACAGGATGATTGTAATTCATTTCAAATATTAAAATAATTGGTTAAAAATTATTTTTAAACATTCACATGCAGACATTCCCCTTTGACATCACTTCCTGTTACTTCACATGCAAATATCTCAACAACTGTTCATCTGGGCAACGTGAAATTTGTTTTTTAATGTTAATAATGTTGTCTTTCCAAAAATGCCTCACTTTTCTTACAAAAAAGTTGATGTCACTTTAAGGTTTCATCTACAGCACATTGAGGTAAAGACCCCACTGTGGGTCCTGAAATTGCAGTTTTAGGTTGTTAGAGGATAAAACTGACTGCTAAGAATGTTTTTGCTATAGTTAGAAATTGATAAAACAATTGATCTATCAGCCATATTTTAATATTTAAACAAAAATACTTTGGTTCATGAGTTTCTGCCAGTTTTTATTTTTTGTCCTTTGTGTTTATTATGAAATTGGTCTTAAATTTAATTTCACTTGGCATTAAAAGGTCTTAAATTTAACTTGCTTTAAACTGTAGGAACCCTGNAGATACTAGAGTTTGAAAAGACACAAGGGGAAGATGAGAATTATTAAATAAAAAAGTAAAAGAGTGATTTTAAAATAGCTAAAAGTAAAAACATAAATGTAAACAATGAGGAAAAATCTTTAGTTACAGCCCCACCTCCCCTCAAAAACAGTTTTCTAAAAGTTGTAATGATTGTTTTAGTAAAATGTTTATGTTGAAASGGATACCATTTAAAGTTAAGACCCTTCAATAAATGTTCAGTTATTTTGGAGCCGTTTTTCCTCTCTTTACTTATAAAACTCTATGATTCAAAAACTGTTGAGCTTTTTAAAATCGGACCGCCTGTTCTGGATTATGAGGTCATTAAGGTTAAAAATTAGGGAGTAAGTTCAGCTTTACTTCCCTGCAGACACYCAGCACGCAGGTTTTTAAACCAAAGCAGAAACAAACTAAAACATTTAGACAGATTTCAAACTGATATGTTGGGATGTGGAAACTCTGACGCACATGATAATCATTTATCACAGTAAGGATGTGGATACATTTTTAATCCTACACTAATATTAAATCTGACAGCAGATTCCAAAAGAACATTTCACACCAAACAAAATAAAACCAAAATCCTGTGATTATCTGAAGTCTGAGGGAAGTTATTGATGTTTGTTCAGGTGAAATCAGCTCATGTTTTCTTGTTCACAGCAGAACCAATGGGATCATTTCACCTGCTGTTTTCTGTTTTTYCTCATAACTTCCTCAGAGTTCAAGATGTCCCCATGAAATTTTAGGAAAAGTTTCCCCTTCTGGGTTTTGTAGGAAGCATCTTGTGTCCTAAAAAACTAATAAAACTTAATAATAGCCAATTCAAAAGTAGCAGAAAAGGTATAAAATGACATTACAAGGCAAACTGTAGCATCAAATCAACAATGTGTCTTATAAAGTAAGGAAATTAAAACAATTTAAAACCATGTGGACATGTGTTTTGTAAACAAAGCTCCTCGACCAATGACAGCAAGTTAAATGTGTCAGGTGACGAAGACGAGCATCAAAACACTTTGCAACAAGAGCTGTTCCAGATAAAAAAAACATACTTCGACGTTTCAAATCTTTATCAAATTATGAACAAGGGCAGATAAAATAATGTTTTCATGTCAGCTCATCTCTTTAAGGCAGAGGAGCCCAAATTGGGGCCCGTGGGCCAAAATTGGCCCGCCAAGCCATTTGATCTGGCCCACCATCAGTTGTCCTGGTTACTTGATTGCAATTATGTTAAGA